GTTGTTCCAATCGGCTATTTTATTCTTGTCTTAAGTTGTTCTGTCTCTTAATTCAATCAACTCGGTGTTGTTTGCTTCTAAGTCTCTTTGTAACTTTTTGATTGAACCATTGAGATTGTTGGTCTCGTCTTCATGTCCATTAACTAAGTCACAACCAGGCGTATTCATTTTTTGTCAAGTTTTTGTTTTTTATAACAGGGAGCTAGTGTTAACTTTTTCCCATAAAAACTTTTTTTTTCTTTAAAAAAGACTTATACAAAAAAAACTTGAATATAATTTAAATATTTCACCAATTTTTTGACTAAAAGCAAAGTTATCTTTTTTTATTTTTTAATTAAATATATTTTATTTTTATGTTGCCATATATTAATTCTAACAATAACAAATATCAAAATGTTGACAAATTCATTAAATTAAAACCTATTCCAAATAGTAAATTAAAAATAATAAAAATTATATATTATAGTATATAATCACGATAACAATTTATACATTTTTGTGTAAAAACAAATAGAACATTTGGTACAATAATTAATTATAATATATTGGTTTAATCAAATACAGTATAGAAAATGGACCCGGTACTTTAGAAATGAATCCGAACCTTTAGAAAAATTCCAAATGATTTGGGATACTTTCCGTTGTAATAAATGTGCACAACTTTGAAACGACCAATCACTTTAATACTCCAAAAAACTGAAACTTTACAAAATTGTCCAATCAATTTAAACTAAATTCATTTTTCTTTTTTAACATGTTTGTTATTTTATCTCTATATTTCATTGCACCAAAACACCGTTAAATTACGGGAAATATAGATTTAAACAATTATGAAATTTTGAACACATTCTATTACAATTAATAATAAAAACCTTGTTTAATGAAAATGTTTTTTCATATGGAAAAGTCTTTTCCAATGAGCAATCAACAAGCAAAATAATATACTTGTGAATTAAGATTATTTCTTTATCATATCTTAAACTTTGGATTCATGAAAATAATATTCAAAAGTCCAGATGTCTTGTAACAAATATTGAGGTGGTGAATTATTGTTATTTTATGAAAATGTTTTGACAATCTAAAGTGAAAATGGATGACTTTACATGTTTACGTTATCCAATATGACACTATATAATAATTTTATGTTGTAATACCAAATTGTTAATGTTTCATTTCCAAACAATTTAAAATGTTGTTCCATTTTTTGTTTTTAAATGTTATTTTAAAAAAAAATAATTCTTTATAATCTTAATAGTTTTGAATAGCTTTATTATATATTCAGGGTTAATAAGTGATTAACTAAAATTATAATTATTTAAAGAAAAAATCGAAAAAAACAATTTATTTCATACTGTTTGTTTCATTCACATCTGTTTTATTAATCTGTTGGTATCCATTAACATAATAGAAAGCAACAACCAAAGTGATACAAGACCTCTCAAGTAGTATTACTATGAGAGGTGTCAATAACTGGGTTTAAAAACCCAGTTAAAACAATTAAAATTTGCTGCGGCTCGGGATAAGAGGTGATGATCGACGAGAGAAAGGCATCTCATTTAAAATTTAAACAAATTGTTGTATTTTTTGTTATTTGGATTTTGTTATTGGTATTTTCTTTTATGAATATTGTTATTGATAAAATGTTATTTGAATTGTGTTATTTGATTTTTTGTTATTAAAATAATGTTATTGCCAATAAAGGGTTTTGTCCCAAAAATGAATTTTTTTACCGTTTCACATTTTTTACTAAAGTTGCACTAATTGTTCTAATGATCCTAGTTCATTTCTTCTACTGTAGTTGAATTTTTCAAAACAAAAAACTTCGAAAACTATCGATAATTTTTTTTATCAAAGAAAGCAATTATAAACAATATATAGTTATAAAACCGTTTATAATAAAACACTAAAACAATTTTGTATATTTTTAAAAATACATAAATGCAACCAAAAAAAGTTTATTCATAACATTAGATTAATTTAATCATTACTAATGATACAAAGTCATTACATGTTTTATTTGTTTAATAAATAAATACATAATATATTGGATATAGAAATGTTTTATTAATATCATTTTTAAGTTAATCAACACTTATTAAAATAAAATATATATTACTATATAAACAATTGTGTATATTATATAAATTAATTTACACACCAATTTCATCAAATTAATATCATTTAATCTTTAACATCTAAAAACAAAGTCAATTTTTAATTTACACACAAAAATGTTTAATTATTTAAATTAAAAGAATCAAATACATTTTCCTTTTTATTATAATGTTACATATTATCATATTGATAAAATCAGATATAACAAACTCAATAAGACATTTGAAAAACCTTAAAGTCAAAAATAAATTATTTATTTATGTATATTTAGTGTTATTTTTTATAAAAACGAGTATGAAAAACAACAATAATAAGAAAATGTTGTTTATCTTTCCCGATAATAAACATAAAACGGAACACACAATGTACTAAAAACAAAAATCATTTTGTAGAAAAATCTATTCGAAATGTACTTTTAAAAAACTTTAGAAAATACAAAAAGTTGAAATATTTTTAAATGTTTTATTTGGAAAAACATTATTATATAAATAATAGACCAAAAAACTTTACAATAAAAAACAATTACAAATAACATTTTATAAAAATAAGAAGAATAAAAGCTTTTTGTATTTAAATAAAAACGTTAAATGTTAATTAGGATTAAATTTTGAATATTAAGTAAAAATTTAACAAAAAGCCAAATGGCAATATTGATTAAACAGTAAAATATGTATTTATTCAAAATATATACACACATTATAAATAACTTTTAATAATTTAATTTATATTTGATATAATGAAACAAAAAATAATAGCAGCTATATTTGCAAACCGATTGATAACAAGCGGTTTAAAAAATAACTGTTTTATTAATACTTATGTGATAAACAATTATTATTATATCATATAAATTTCAAACTACAATAAAAACCATATTTTATTTTTGTTATAATTAATAATAATAATAACATTAGAATTTAATTACAAACATGTTTATAACAAAACAATTGGTTCAAATTATTTATTTTTGCATTTTTAATACATATGTATGTTTTGAATGGTGTAAATATATAATAATATGCACAATTGTAGTTTCATTGAAATGTAAACCTTATTTTAAAAATCGGACGCAGTGTTATTTTTATACCTTTTCGTGTTTTTTCGTCTTTTTTATTATATAAAAGTACTTTTACTTACTCAGAGACTTTCTTAACAATATGAAAAAACGACTATTTTTTTGTTCAACTTACATTGGTTCCAGCTTAAATTTCTTAAATAGTTCAGACCTTGTTTTTATCATAGAAAACGGTCTGATTAAATTTTTTAAATTAAAAAACAATAAAAAAAATATAAAAAAATGCATTGTTGTTATTATAATTGTTTCTGTTTTTAGGTAAAAATCCTCAAATTTAACGGTATAATATAGTATATTTTTCAATTAAAAATTCAAAATCATCACAAAACACCACAATAAAATGTATAAAATTCCAGCCAAAATAATAAACTTGTTTCATAAAAGCGTCATTTTTTTCAGTTACGATTTTGTGAAAAAATATGATAATAATTAAAAATAATTTAAAGTACTTTGGTCATTAATCTTGCAATATTTTTGTAATTTTTTCTTGTACCACGATTGACCAATTTTCTTTGGCCCGCCAAAAAATTGGTAAGCTAATTGTGGCTGACACGTGTCGGCGGATGAAAATAGGACAAAGCATCGAAAATAACAAACATTTTAATTGCGGCTTTTGTTTTTGATTAAAAGTCGGGAAAATTACTCTAATAAGTATTTTTGGAAAATAAAAAATCCATTTGTACAAAACTATTATTATAATAAGATTATTATGATTGAAAATATGGGAAAATTACCCTAAAAAATAAAAAACATGTCTTTTGTGAATAAAGTTGAAACATGATAACAAAAAATTTATCAAAATAAATAATATTTGTCATTGTTTTTATTAGGTATATAAGAATTATTAACACCAAACGTTCATTATTCCTATTATTTAACTACTCATTATTATTAAATTTTAATTATTTAATTAACTATTAGAATTATAAAGTATTTGATTTATATTAAATATTTAAATATAACAAATTTATAATTATTTACTTATATAAAGCTTTCAAAAATTTATTCATACTTAACCCACCATACAAACAATTCAATTACACTTACTGATTGTTTGTATGTTTTGAATTAATTGAATCATAAGGAATAAGATTATGGGGTTTTAAATCTAATTATATAAAGTAGTTAATAAATGTAATAAATATACTATTGATTGTTTTTAAAAGTGAAATGACTCATTTTTTTTTCAAAACCTCTAAAAGTGTATATTTTAAATAATATTATTTAAATTAAAAATTTAATAACTCGGTGTTTTCATAATTATTTGACTAAGTTTATAATTTTTTGAATTAAACAATTGTTGTTTCCCAATGAAAAAAATGATATAAAGAACATCATGATAAATACTTGTAAAAACATATTTGCACAACACACATAGGCAATTATTTAGTAAGTTTTTCCTTGTAGAGTTTTTTTTGAAACACCCTACAAATTGTGAAAATAATACCAATGTCCAATTAAAATTGATAATGAAAGTAATAAACACAAAGACATACAAACAAT